AGCGGTGGCTGAAGATGTACATGCTGTATGTCCAAGTTTCATCTCACTGGGGAGTCACAGGAAATTATTCCAGGAGATTCTTCAGTCTTTCTAGCTGCCTCTCTCACTAGCAACTGGACTCGTTGCTTTCCTGATGGATAATTAAATCAGCTCCTTTTGGGTATACTTCTTGATCAGCAACTTATGCCGTGTGCAAGAAGGGAAGTGGACGTGGAAAGAAGGGTCACCATAGAAAGAAGGGTCACCATAGAAAAGCGGACAAGGAGGCAAAGGTGGTTGTGAGGCTTGACAAAAGGACACACAATGTTTTTCACGAAAGGAAGACATAGTTGCAATGGGTCAGCCTGGAAGATGCAAAAGGGAAGATGACTTATGGATACTTGGAGTGACCAAGGAAAGATGTTCAGAAATCTCGCTTTCAGGTAACAGTACAACACCTCTCCCGCTTGGAGAAAATGGCTTTTTTTGCCAATTATATTTTGCAGTCAGCCGCACTGTCCCATTCCCTCAGCACAGTGCCCAGACTACCAATCCAGAGGAGGCTGAACTACCTCCTGGCAGCAACTCCACTAAACCCAGGAGGGGCATGCATGACAGAGGTTAACAAAGAGGTAGGCATAGCTTCTTAACAGGCACAGAAAACATAGGCCCTCACAAGCCCTTGTTTTAAAACGGTGGGATTTTAAATCATTCAGATGTCAAAATGAATTTAAGCTTTTTAATTTCCCCCCCCCCCCAATTTTAACCGCGGTCTAATAAATGAGTCACAGTTTTTCGCGCTTTCAGAACAGAGCGGTCAGTCTGCACAGCTAGATTTTATCACACTGCGGGGTAGGAACTGATAGCACAACTTTCTCTGAATAGGCCAGCTGGCTCTCCCTTCATCTGACGCTCTGTTTACCCAAACATTTCAACCTTTAGATAAACTTTAGCCTGAGTACATCAAACACAAATAGAAGGAAGCATCCTTCCTAAAGCTGGCTAGCGATAAAGGTGCTTAAAACACATGCAAGGCTTTCCAACAAGTAAGCACAGCACCTTCACGCAGACAGACACATGCAAGTTGTATTGCCAAAAGCTTTTGAGCGCAATGACAAAAGAATCGTGCTCCAGCAAAGCTACACAAACAGTTTTTCTTGTATATATCTGAATATCCAAGATATTAACATAGAGCTTTTGATCCCATCCTTGTGCTACAGGAAAATGTGTCAAAGAAAAAAACCAAAACCAAGCAGAACTTCAGGGGAGACAGAGAGGAACCCTGACGGAAAGGGCAGGAGCAAGATGAGCTCTTTTGAGCAATGTTATATTCCATAGCCAGGACTAAAAGAAAAAAAACAAGCAAACAAAACACAGCAACTCATTAACACAAACGATCAAGCTTTGTCCATATATCGCTACCATTTTTCGTATGAAAGGAGCTAAAAAAGAGATTAGAGGAGATGCCAGGCAAAACTGGATGAAGAAAGTACACAAAGAAAATCTAGTTTGCCCCATATCATTATTACAACTATAGCAAAAAATTAATAATAAGTAATTGCTTAGGAGACACGCCTTCTTACTCTTCTGAAGAACAGAACTAGTATAATAACAAAGTTATTAGAACCTCTGCACAGAACAACTGCCTGTGCACGTTAGTCTCGTTCAAACTTTGGAAAGAAAATACTGAAAAAGAAGTCTGCTGGAACATACAAACCTATCGATTCCAAACCATAGCATATTACCTGAATGAGCTTCTTATTTTGCTGGGTTTCATGTGTGTCTATTTACACTGCTAATCTGCCTGTATAATTACTTGATTGAAAGCACACTTACGGTACTCACATACATAAATTAGGCACACATGTGCTTTTGCAGCCAAAGCATCTAAAAATTACCACAGCCGTTACAGTCACAGCGAATCTGCTGCCAGTGATGTTCAAATTCCAGCTGGGATAGTCTCATTCTTGCTATCCAAAATTTCGTACTGTATATTTAAAAGGAAAATATATTCTTTCTGTCTGTAAATACAGAGCAGCTGCTCTCTATCTCAGAGGGTGCCTGAATTTCAATGGGGAGGGTGAGGGTTCCCTATATGTTGAGTATATGTTACAGAGTGTGTGGGAGTACTTTTCTCTACAAGATGATTATTAACATTCTCAGTTTTGCTTTTCCTGCAGAGCAAGCAATGCAACCCTCCCCTGGCCCCGACAGTAATTTATTAAGGGTCCAGAAACATCTCTGAATTACACTGCGTTTTTCTTTTGTTTCCCTGCAGTAAAATGGTTATCTCCTCAGATTTCATACATTGATAACATTTTCTACTGTACCATTAGAACAAAATGTAGAAGCCTCAGTTCTGCTGATGCCGAGATAGTTGCATCCAGACAAGAAAAGATTAAATTTATTATTATCATTGTTATTATTATTCATTGCTGAACTACCATAAAGATGCACATTGCTTTATGAACCCAGAGGGCCTCAGGACCTAGGGCTGCTGCTGACCTCTCTCCAGCTCTACAGGTTTTTGTATCTCTTTCAGGGGGTTTGGACAAGATGCCAAAACCAAAAGCAATGGTTTAATAATATTGGTGGCTATCACTACAGCACTTATATGTTCAGTGATCGCTGTCAAATGAGTAGGGACATGTTTGCCTTTCAAGCCCAAGACCCTTCTAAAGAAGTATTAAAATGAAAACACTTTCTGTTCTTTTTTCTTTCTTATTGTGAACACTTGTTTCACATAGACATTCACGTACCTCACTATATTTTAGTCATCATTTTCATCTCAAGCATTGTTAGTTACATACATTTCTTTGTCACTTGGCTATATGTACCAAGTCAATCTTTTCACTAATAAACATTATCAACTTTCCGTCTGTTTCCTGTGCGTTTTGCATGGGACAAAAGAATGCATAATACATATACATTACATCTATTAATTTCTTTTTTCCTGAATCCCATCTTTATTGACAGAAATCTTGGCTTTTCCCAAACACAGGCATTTTTATATCCTAATTCTTTTCACTTTCTTGGTTTTTTTTTTGTTTTGGTTTGTCTTTTTTACTGCACATCACAATCTCCTCAACTTTTAAGCTGAAGCCCATGGTGATTTTTTGGAAATGCAAACAGCCACTCCAGCACTGCTCACCTGATTTCTGTCTCTGGCATTTGCGTAGCGGAATCGCTGGATGTAATAGAAGACCAGCCACGCCAGTGAGATGATCATCAACACAATGAAGGAGATGGAGACGAACACCACAGAGGTCCGGCTGACATACTTCTGCAAGTTGCGTGTCCCGATGGTTATGTACATCATCACAGTAATGTTCCTCTCCAGGAGGCTCACTATCTCTTTTCCTTTGGGTTCAGGGATCATTATTGCTACAACATCTTCTAGGCCTATGAGACAGGAGAGAGAGAGAGAGAAAAGAAACCTAAAGTAAAACGAGTGATCGTCTAAAAGCAAAACAGTAACAAAAAAAGCTCCCCTTTCTCCTGCTCTTCCCTCCCGCTTTCCAAGAGGTAAGTCAGATGGATCTGGTGAAGTTTTCAACTGGAACCAGTTACACAGTGTGTTTCTATAAACTACTCTTGGTGAGATACACAAAACGTGTTTCATGGGTAGACACAAACACAGATTTCCAGCACCACCGAGGCTTATCTAGCCAATATTGCTGTCAGCACTGCAAAAAGGGATACACGCAGCCAGCATCCTTCCATCCAACACTCCATATACATTTATCATAGCCCATTTTGCAGGGTCACGAGTCTGTCAGAGAAACCCCTCCAAACTCCGCACTCAGATCAGAAATGCTTTCAATCACACATCCCCACATGGTTTCATAGCCCGAAGGCACCAAAGCATCACTGCCCTAGTCCGGGGTTGGCAACTGAAGCAGCCTGCAGGGACAAGAGCAGCTCGACACGTTCCCAGCTCACCCGCTGCTCCATCCTGCCCGAGGCTCCCCACAGCCCGAGCCCACCCAGACGTCTGGGAGTCCCTTCTGGGAGCTGGACTCACCAATTGATGCAAGTTTAAGGTCAAGAGCGCTGTTTTAATCCCTCCAAAAATGCTACTGCAGCCCAGATCAGCCCCCAATGCATTTTGCAGCATGGCCCCACAAGGACACGAGTCAGCACAGCCGAGGTGGCAAAGGGGTGTCCACCAATGGCATGGGACAGGGATCTCCTACAGTCCTGTCAACTGGTCCTCCACCAGCAGGTCCTCCACCCATCTATCAAACCTCAACTCCACACCAGCTTTCCTTTCTGTACAGCGCTGCTTCATTTTACTCCCATCACACTGTCCTGGTTTGAGCGACAGATTAATTCTCTTTCAGTAGTTTTACTTTTCAGTAAGGTCTCTTCTAATGCTAGGGAAAGCTGCCCTTTTAGAAGACTCTAGTGTCTGAATTTGTGAAAATATTTACTTTATAGCCAGCCATGGTACTTGGCTTTCAAGGTCTCAGTGTTTTGGAGCCAGCCAGATGCAGGGACGAGGAGGAGCGAGACCCGGGCACCTGACCCACGCTGGCCAACAGCATTGTTTCATACCATCAACATAAATTCATACCATTCAATATAAATCAGAAAGTTTGCTGAGGAGTTCTCTCTCTCCCTTGATGGCAGCGATCCTGAGAACGTCGTGTCCCAGTGCCGGAGCCCTGAGCCCTTCCCTTCCCCCCGAAGCCGCAGTGCTGGCAGTGCCCCACGTTCGCTGTCACTGCTGGGGGCGCACGGCTTCCTACGGATGGAACGGGCTGAGCAGAATCCCCTATATTTTATATGGGTATCGGGATCAATATTGGTTCTTTAGTATTATTGATGTTAATTATTTAGTCTTATTCTATTAAATCTGTTTATATTTCAACCCTCGGGTTTCCTTGGTTTTTCCCCCAATTCCCCTTCCCAGGTGGGGTGCTAGTATAATTGTCTGAATGACAATAAATTGTTGTGGGTTCTTCAAACCATAACACAGACACTGCTGAAACTATTTTTCTTTCAAAATTTTATGTCCCCTGTGTACGTGACAAATATAGTCTGAAATTATCTGGGATTGGGCAGCTTATTAAATACCCTTTCTGGCTTTATAAATAAACTATCGTTGCTTTATGGTTTAATATTAGGGATATTCTGTTCTTCCACTTCACAAAACAAGTATGTAGACCCTTTTTACACCTAGGCTGTGTTTTACAGCAACCAAATCCTGAATTGTACTAAGTGACTACGGATAAACAGGATGCATTTTAATGCAGAAACGTGCTAGAAACAACAGCACTTGATACGACCACAAACTGGCATTTACAAAGAAAGGTACAAACTGGGGGTGTCTGAAGTCAGAGAGACGACACTGAGGTGTGGTTTCAGAATTTCAGCTGCAATCCCTTGAAATCAGCCAACATGTTGTTAAACCCATGTGGCCGGAGGACAAAACCCTGCCTGCCTTGGGACATTCGTGGAGGTGGGAAGGGATTACTCTGCCACGAATGGAGACGTGAGAGGGTGACTTGCGTTTCCAACAGCATCCCTCTCCAAGCTGATATCCAACTCGAGCTTCACCAGTGCAGCGCTGTGCCCTGGTCCTCATGGTCCAGCTCAGATATCTCTCCACCAAACCCCCCCGGGAGGTATAAACCAGATTTTCAAAGGTATTTAGATGCTAAAGACCAGGAGGTGTCCAGCAGGATTTCAGATACACTAAAGCAGACAGGAGGATGGCGTTCAATGGAAAACACTAACCATGGTGGAAACTTTATCAAATTCTGCTGGGTGCCTGGAGGTCCTGAAATAGCTGTGACAGACTGCTGCTACTCACACACGAAATCTGCTGTAAAGCTGGGAACTGAACCCTCCTCTCTGAAATCTTGAAGT